CCAGATTCAGATCAGTAGCCAAACCCACTCATCTGGTTTAACCAAATAAAAACAGAGATGGGTGTACACACAGCTCTCACCTAAATTACAGCAACTCTCTTGTGCAAATAGATCCTCCGTGATAAAAAAAAATATATTTACTAAGCACTGAAATTTTTCAGTGCTGTTCAAAGATTTAACACACTTTTTTCGTGCTGTTTTAGTGAATGGGCCCACAAGGTGAATCAATTGTTATGCACCAAAGGATGAAATTGGATGCACAGAGGATGTCAGTAACCTGTAAGACTTTGTGAGTCCCGAAAGTGGCAGAACTCTCAGTGAGACACTCATCTCCAGGGGATCAATGTGGATCACTAATCACAGAAGCAAAGAAGAGCAGAGCAACACATACTGCAGCTCCAATATAGTTTTATAGTGATTTATTCATTGTAATTTTAAATGTCCAATATAAGGATTTCAACACTTCCCTTGTGGATCTACAAGGAACAGCAAAACATTTTATCACTTGGAAACTTTTCTTAATATTTCAACTTCAGCTCAAAACCTATCTTAGGTCTCTCTCAATAAAGGATATCACACAGAATATCAATATATATCTTTTCAGTATTTATATGGTTAGCATATTTTAGCAGTAGCTAAAACATTAGTGTGCTATCAACATTATTTTGGTCACAAATCTAAACACTGCATCATATGAGCTGCTACAAAGAAAATTAACTCCATCCCAGCCAGACCCAGTGCAAAGTGAAAACATATTTGATTATTAATCAGATGGCTATACAATGCTAAATTTTGGAAGAAATTAAAAACATGAGAAAGTAATAAAAAAAATTCTACAGAAAAATTCCAGAAGCATCAAAACTGATAAAGGTAACTTCAAGTTGGAAAGAAATGGTTAAAAAAGGTGGGGGGGGAACCAGCCCATATGCATTAGTTAAGTAAAAAACTGAAAGAGAAGAACTTGCAGTCAAAGCATCTTATGTGTTTTAGCCACTTGTTCTGAACTACGGTGTCTGAAATCTGAGAGAAAATATTGTAACTCTGGAAGGTTCAGTGACCCTCCATAAAATTCTCAATCTAGAGTCTAAGAACTTCAGCAATAGAAAAATCTATCACATTACAAGTTTCACTACTCCCCATATACACCAAACTAAGTGTGATTTCAAGAAGTTTCTGTCTCGGGGACAGTTTACTCTAGAAAATGATGGTATCAACCACATCTGCTGAAGTAACTGAAGTATATTCTGAAAATTATATGCACAAAAGCCACACAGAGAGTACCTGCTGTAATCCATGCAGTACAACGTGCTAAGACAGCTACACCACTATCTGTGTATGATACATTTAGATTCAACACCATTTGACAACAATGAAGCTACAGAAAGATCTTTCAGTAATCAGTAACTGGTGACAGAATAACCCACAATTAGAACAGATTAAGGCACTCACAAACTACATTTCTAAACTGCCATTACAGAGAGTGCTCTATTTAACACTTGCAGTGGAGCCTACAAGCAATTCCACTAACCCTGTGTCACTCCACAGACTCTCCTGAAGTACTGACTTGATCTTTGCTGAGTATAATCAAAGCTCAGAAAACCCAGGGCATCACCACACACATGGAGACAGGGGCTAGTCTGGAACAGACGCCCACGTACAGTGGCAATAAATGCAAATCAGTACTGCAATAAACATTTCAACCTTTTGGAAAAAAAAAAAAAAGGCAGACAGGAGCTAGTCTGGAACAGACTCCCACCTACAGTGGCAATAAATGCAAATCATTACTGCAATAAACATTTCGACCTTTTGGAAAAAAAAAAAAAAAGTAAAATAAAATACCATGTCTCACTTGCTTCCCCTTTTTGCTTCAAGCTGTTTTTTGTTTTAAAAGAAACAGACAATTCCATTCCATTTGAAATTAATACTGGGGATTATGAGTTGTTACCAGCAGGTCACAGGATGGAACCACACTGTTTCACAACATGCTTCACCAATTTTTTTTTTTTGTACTTTTCTTACCTCCATCTCCTTCTTCCTCTCCTTCATTTAAAACATTAATGCAGATGTGTTTCCTCAGCTGACGTGTGTTGGAGAACTTCCGATTGCATTTCCTACATTCCAAGCTGCCTGGGGAGACTTCAGACAGTTCTGGTGCTTCTTCTGTCCCAGGTGGAGTTTCTTCACTTGGAACAGAGTTATTTTCTGCCACATCTTCATCCACACAAAACTTCTTAGTAGACCCTTTTGGTCTGCCCCTTTTCCTCTTCACTACTAGAGCCTCTAGAAAAGAAAGTTAAAGTTGAAAAGAAACCCCAATTAAATTCCACAGCCAATTAGCTAATACCCATCTGATCTTCAAAAAATAGGAATATTAAGTGAAGTCTGAGAGCCTCTATCCCTAATGCATAAAAAATATATAGCTTCACACAAACTTATTTCTAAGCAGTGGTGTTCACTGGCATCTCTGCTAGCTGCAAAGGAATCACATAGTTTAATACAATGAAACTAATCAGTCTGTGTATTTCTTGTTACTCTCAGAGGTTGCTTGCTTGGTTTCCTACTTCTTTATACTGGGTTTCTTGAGGAATTATCCAAATGTTATTGTGTAGATTTTAGTTATTTACTTTGAACTTGCACTTCTGCAGAAAACTGCCAGTTCAAGCAGCAAAGCGTGGTAGTATTTAAATGATTTTTTTGAGTCTGAGCAAATATTTGGTGAAGTATCATATCTACTCTGCATTGAAGGAAAAAAGTAGTGTGGATCCAAAAGAGCTTCCCTGTTGGTGTATGGAGAAACAGGACAGAATCAGGCTTCTTCCAGGCTTTTAGGATTCATTTTATCTAATGTTAGCCATTTGAGCTCTCAAATTAGTTAATATTTGTCTTCTGTATTGAAGGAACAGAGAAATTACTCTTCAGAGTGCAGTTTAGATCACATAAGGCCTGAATTATCTCTGGATCCCAGGATGACTAATATTATAGTTTAAGAACCTTCAGTTCCGTGCAGTCAATTCCAGCTGTGGGAATTAAATGGTAAAAGAGCTCAATATGGTCATTGCTATTGGGGGGGGAAGGCAGTATAATGTGCATTAAAATGTGCTAAGTGAGACAGAACAGGTATGAAGCACCTGTCATACCATCAGCTCTGTAATATCAGAGACAGACAAAGGACTGGCACATACAAAAATTTCATCAAGAACTCTGCTTCTAATGCTCAGCTATGAGCAAGCAAATTTCAATCCTGTGCATGCTTCAGCTTATGGCAGTCACAGCAAAATGTCCCTTAACATGCTTTTACACACAAATATTTCCAAATCTTGAGATTGTGCAAAGAAAAAATAAAATTATTTTCCTCAGAATTTCATACTTTTACTGTTGGTTGGTTTTTTTTTGTGTGTTTGTTTTTTTTTTTCCTTGTTTGTTTCTGTTGTGGTTGTTGGGTTTTGTTTGTTGTTGCTGTTGTTGTTTCTTCATGGTTTGGTTTTTTTATTTTAATTGTTTTTTTTATTATGGTTGGGTTTTTTTTGCACAGCACACATGGGAGAAGTAAGAAACATGTCTTCTGTGTATATGAGTGAAATGCCCAGTAATTAAGCAACTGCTGCAGTTCCAAAGGCTTGAAAGTATCTTGGAATTATTCAAGCTAAAAGAGACTGACAGCACTACACAAACTGTGCCTCTTATGAGAAACTTAAATTTCTCCTGCTCCTATTCCAGAAACTTTCACTAAAACCAGTGTATATCATGAATAAGAGCTGTCTACAGCTTTATATCAAGTATTCATCAAGCCAATGACCTCCCTTCTGCCTGATAAATTGAGAGTGACAATGCAGAAGTCTGAAAAATCATGAAATGAGAGAATACTAAAAATCCAAACAAACCCCAACTGATTTTCAAGTACATATGCCAAAAGATCTTATTAAATTGGTTGACTTAGAGCACATGGAAAAATAAATTACCTCAAGGAATATCAAGCAAAGATGATGCAAGAGAAGAGGAAGTGGTGGCAGCATCTTATTTAAAATCTGTTCCATATTTCCCTTATATCAGACAAAAACCCACACAGAGAGACTATAGTTTTGAGTTAACCATGTAATTAATACCAAGGGGAAAAGAAAGCAGTCTGTCTTTTTACGGGAGTGACTGAGTACCTGTCCCCTTAAATATAAGGCAACAAACCCACTGAACACCTCATTCTGAAAAGGCAAAAAGCAACCTTTTCACAGAAATTTTTGCAGCCCTCCATCAGCAGCGTTCCAGATTTCTGTGCTAGTGCACTCCAGTGAAAGCAGTTTCATCAGTTATCAGCCAGAAAGAAAGGGGTGATTCCAGTGCTCTCACAACTTCTCTTTGCTATCATTCACGTTCTTTCCATATCCATCAACCATCAGTATTTGGTGCCTTGAGTTAAAGTAATTAACTTTCAATTAAAACAAGCAAACAAACAATGTTTACTTTTATGTCAACTTGTCACAGTTTGCCAATGAGTCAAACATAATATGAGGAATACAGATGTGGATACTGCTCAGGTTACTATAAAATAATTAAATCCCAGGATCTGAAGAGTGAATGCAACCACCACATTCTCTGTGTATGATATTCTCTTTGGTCTTTTCCAAGGCAATCAGCAGATTACTCAACAAAAAGGAATGAAGCAGGAGCAGGTAAAAGAAGTATGCTGCTTCTTGACTGTTTTAATGTAAACTTACTGAAGAACAGAACAGCACTTTCACATTAAGACAGAAACTGAAACAAATTCTTGTATGCAAGTAGAAATGTGAAAACTGCTCCTTTAGAAGGTTGGTGGTAGATCCTCTTCCTTAAAAAAAAAAAAAAAAAAAAAAAAAAAACAACAGAACAAAACTCAAGGTACTCTGAGTTAGCAATGAAATAATTAAATTTTTAATGATGCACATAACCATAAATACCAGCTGTGTCTCTCTCCACCCAGCGTGCCACCAGCCTGCCATTCACTCTGCACTAACTCAGTTCAAAGCACCACCTGAGATTAACAATACAAAGTAATTAATGGCAACTGTTAAAAATAAAGTAGTATATTAAATAAATTAAAAAAAACCCCAACACACATTTCAAGGATGCTTAGTCAAAAGTAAGAATTTTAAATTGGTCTTTAAAAGACTTTAGAAGTAAAATCCTAATCCCCCAAGAACTTAGTTGTTCCTGGGGGTTTTACACTCCTCACAGCCTCACTGAAACCTATCTTTATGTTGGCTGGTATTGGATGAGCAATGGCAATATTCAGAGTAGACATTCTGTGCTATGTTATATAATTATAAACTCAAAGACATAAAAAAGGCACTTCAAAAACTGAGTAACAAAAACTCTGTGTCTGTTTTTATACTGTTCCTTTATGGAAATTATTCACACAAGCTTCTCCAACTCAGTCTATTTAATAATCAATTGTGTCAAAAATATTCAGAACATGAGTAACACAGAACATATTAATTTATGAGGCCTCCATGTTATTATACAGTAGAATTATACGTAATTAAACCCTTGCAGTTTAGCTAAGCAATATACATACATCTATATAAATATCTCAATCAGATGTTACTGAGGTCTGTTATTATTCCCATTAATCACTTGTCTGGAATTCTGCTACATAAAAATAGAGGTCCACAACCAGACCTTCAGAGATAACTTTTTTAAAATTTATTTTTTAAATAAACAAAGTTGAATAAAGGAAATATAAATTCAAAATAACAGTAACTTCACTGCTGATTATTTTTAACTCTTCATAGACTAAATTGAAACCCATGTAGATCCTGCCACTAGCGCTGTGGATTCCACCAGGCTAAATAATCTGGAGCACAGTGTTTGCCTCAAAACCAAGCTTTACCAAAACTGATTCAATAAAGGACAATACCCTTAAGGGGCAGCATTTCCCAAACTTACTTATTATGTACAGGAAAATACAATAAATGGTAAGGAAAATAGACTCCAAGTATATAATAGATTCTTCTCCTCTGGTTTTCTACCCCGCGTGTAGTTAAAGTTACACACATACAAAATATATTCAATAAACCACTTTTTGTCATAGTGCTGCTTGAGTTTACACCAGTTTTAAGTGATCTTTTAAGAAAATTATGATACCCAGACTGTAAATTTCTTCAAGGTTTCATAATCAACAGAGCACATATCCCATGAAGCAGACAGAGCCTAAAACAATGATCTATCAGGGAATATCATGAAAAGATGAAGCCAGGGCCTAAAATCATTGCTAACCTGACTAAGTCAAAGCAAAACAAAGCAGAGAGTTTTGAGAAGCACTTTAAAGGAGATGGAGAACACTGAAAAGTTACAAAAGGAAACCCTTTGTAAAAGTGGAGTATGAGTGACTACAGCCAACCCCTAAATACCTGTAGCTTCCCCAAGATGTCCCACTCCAGCAGTGGACAGAATGTGACCTATGTCTGATTTGTGTAACAGCAACATCTGCTTGGTACCGTTGACTCCACTTGATGAAAGAATTCTAACACATCCTACCAAAATACTTAGGAGAAATCAGCTCTAAATAGATCATGACTTAACAATGGGAAAGTAGCATGACTAAATACAATTCAGCAGGGAGCACTGCCAATAAAATAACATTAGGGAAATAAACACATCTTACTTGCCTAGCGTTCTACTTGTTCACAGTACTTATAAAATCATTAATTAATTACTCAGGCTGAACAAAGAGCTCTATTAACAACTGGGCTTTCACTCGTCTACACCAGTTCTGGAGTAGCTACAGTGTTTACCAGTAGTTGGAAGAGAAACTCTGCTTTCAGAGGACAAAAAGATGCTCCTCTATCAGTCAATAGGTATGGACAGGAAGTTGCAGTTTGTCAGGCTGTCATTTATCAATCATGTCTCCTTTCAGTGGCAATAGTGAATTACTACAAAGGAGAGCCCACTGAGAAAAAATTGCCCGTTATGTATTTTTAAGTTTCATCTGCTGCAGATTTCATAACAGGAGGGAAAAAATTGATGCCTTGAAAGAACTCTCCAAATTCCTATATTCAGCTGTGAAATACCCTATTTTTTTAAACAGAACACAGGAAATAACAGGACTCCATTCAGAACAGACTACCCTCTTTTCCAATCAATCTGTGCGATGGGAAAGAAGAAATATTACATTATGTCTAGAGTGTGAGTTGAAATCTATGTGAAAGTGATTTACCTTGACATTCTCACTGATGGCAGATGGCAAAGAGCTGGGCTACATAGTCTGAAAAAGGTGGCACCATATGATCATAGCAGATGATGAAAAGTATTCACCAAGAACAAAGAAAAAGGTAGCTTATGAATATGTAACTTAACATATGAATGTTATGCTATGTTTACATAATTAGATCTGCAAAGTAGTTTCCTTAAATGCTGCATATGTCTAATTTCTGTTGGTTCAGATCATAATGGTAATTACACACGATTCTCAGAGATGTACAGTGCTTGCTTAACAACATACAATACAGAAAGTACAGACAATCTCTGACACAAATGCAAAAAGAAGTTTACAGAAGACCCTTTTTACTAAAGGAAATAAAAACACATTACAAAGTACCAGTCTCACTGTGCTCAGAAATAAAATTTAATGAAGAGATAACAGGAAACAAAGATTTAAGAAAGGAAAATGCATTCTGCAGGCCTGAGACATTCATTCTGTAAAATTAAAATTAAAATGACATTTTGAAATTTGATGTGGATTTTATATTTATTAATCTTTTTCTGAGGCACCATTAATTTTAGGCATTATGTGAAACAACCTGGTGCAATTCTTGCACACCAACCATCTGAAGAGATAGCAGCTAGAGTGGAATACTACATGACCATTACTAGTAATATCACCTTATGTGCATGAAGTTAATGTAACTGCTGAATTACTGCTGGCAAATAAATGAATAAATATCACATGCATATGTTAATGATTAAAAAATTCTTTTAAGCATGACATTAAGTGAGGTTTTATTCGTAAGCATATAGTTTCTAAAATCCAGAAATCACAATGATTAGGAAAGCCTAGGAGCTGTATTAAGGAAGAGGTTTGCCAACAGTATAAATCCATTGCTCAGTAGGGGTCTAAAAGAAGATATAATTATGAAGTCTGAATTATTTTCAACTCATTGCTAATATTACAAAGGACTGAAATTATATTCAGTTAAAAATGGAATGAATGTAATTTCTTCCACTGCAGAGTAAAATTGTTCTGTACAACTAATTCAAGCTTTGACTATCAGATTGCTTTATCTCCTAGTGCCAATATCAAAGCACAGTTATAAACTATGAATCATGCCCCTGCCTTTTTGGAACAGAACTATTGACCTTATCTGCATCACAACAAACAAGTTAGACACCTCAAAAGCACATCACCATTCCTAAGCCTCAAAACAGACCCCCATGCACGGCGTCCTGGTTGGCTTCCACTGCTATGACACAGATTACAGCTGTAGGAGGCAGACTTTGCTACACCTGACATTCCAAATTAAGGGGCTAATGTTGTCATCCCATATCCCATGCCCAGTTTATCCACATCTGTCCTCTGATCTGTTCTGCACTGAATGAAATTCAGGATGGCAGTTGTACAGTGACCATGGTAAAAACAAGCTACAAAGACCATTCTATACACAATGCAGAATCACCACAACACAGGTCTTGTTGAAAAAAAATAATAATTACTTTGAAAATTACATTTCTCTCAATTTATTAATTTACCTTCTCCATCTTTGTTTATGTTTGTGGGTACTGTTAGAGGCTGGAGTGGAATAATGATGTCATCCACATTGGTCCCTTCTTCTGTATGCTTCTCAGAGACGTGAGACAATAGTTCAGACTGGTTTGGTGAAAATAAGTTACAAAGCTTACACATGAAGATGGAATTGATCCCTGAAAAATAAGTATAAAACCAAGGAGTTAGTATTTCCAAATTGAAGGTGTTTGTTTATATCACCACTAGTTATTGAGATTTTGGTTCAGTTAACACAGAAATTATCAGTTAATTTAATATACTGAACAGACAGTAATGAGCTGAAACGAAAAATATTATACTCTTAAATGAAGACACTCATAATAAATCCCAAAATTAATTAAATTAAGAAATGGTTCGACTCCTACCCAGATCCTCTCAGGGCAAAAAAATTTCTTCTGCCCCAAATCTTAGAAATTTTCTAACAGGGCCCAAAGGAAAGCAAGATGGATTAAGACCTTTTTTCCCTTCCAGTCTCAGGCAACGTTACAATTTTGTATTTTTTCAAACACATGATAAAATTACAGAATATGTTAAGTCATCGTCCAGGCTTCTTGTTTATCACAGTGATATAAATGTAAGACATTGTATCCTTTACAAAGCAGCTCTGAAATACAGATGGGCTCCAAACCCTAGTTTCTGTTCATGGACCTCACTGGTCTTTCCTACGTGTACTTTCACCTTTCCACTCACTTCACATAAGCAAATCTAATTCTCTAATGAACTGTGTAAGTGCTGGAAATGAAAGAAGGAGAGAAGAATAAAACATCATAAAAATAATGTCCCTCACTATAGCAACATCTGTTAGAAAAAAATTATATTTGATTAAAAATGTATGTACTTTGAAGTATCATTTTTGCTCTAGCACATTACCATGAGCATGCTCTGCAAGCTAAAAATGTTCAGTGCATGGGTTTAGGGGTCACTATCCTTAGATGTGGCTCTGCCACAAAGGAAATAGTGGAGGGCAAGGTCAAAACGTCTGCAGCACCACAGAGCACAAAATGGTGCAAGGTATGACATTCTCAGCTACCAATCCCATCATCTTCCTCTCTCCTTCAGGCCATTCATTTCAGAGCTGTACGAACAAAGGGTTTTCTTCTTTTATCACATATTTGAAAAAATACCAGGCCTCATCTTGACCCACCTACATGGATAAAGTGGGCAGGAATAGGAGGAAAATTTAAGGGGCAGGGGGGGAAGTTTTGCTTTTTAAGTCATATCAGCCTCAAAAGCAATATTAATCTTCAACATTAACAAAAAAAATAAAAATCTAGTATTTCATATGCTTTGACATACAAGTTGTATGAAAAA